CCTGACAGCTTCTGAAGACATCCAAGATATTGTTCTGCAATATGAAAATGCTTACAACTTAGTCAGGTTAGTGTATAATGGTATTTCTTCGCCTTCCACCTCTGCGGTCCTGGGTTCCATTCCAGGCTCGGTCTACATGTGGATTGGGTTTTCAGTCCCTGGCTGATTCCGTGGGTTTTACCCAGAATATTCCTTGGGGTTTTCCTCCCACCTCAAAACCTGTTACTGCTTCTCATTGTCTCCTCTCTACAGGTTTCTTCAGGCTTGCAAGCTCCAGTACCCAGGGTACTTTTGAGGAATCCTTTTACCAGAAATGAATAATAATGGTATGCTATGGTATCTAACCTGAAAACACATGTAGTGTTTGAGAATGACCAGTGACACTGGGCCAAATCATTCATACATGTATGACCAACGTCTTGTGAACATGTGAATATCTGCAGGTTACTGACTTCAATTATTATGAACCAGGAGTGAAACCAATAACTTGACCTCAAACATTAAAGGGTAGTAAATAAAGAGCATTCTGACCTTAAATTGTGCCATGCTTCTGATGAGACAAACTGCTGGTAGAAACAACTTGGGGGATTTTTTTTCCAATTCTATTTTTGGTAATATTGCAAAGTGTAATCTAAACTTGTCTAATAAATTTGTAAAAGCTTGAGGCTGCAATTTCCTCTCTCAGAGGTAACAGGTGCAAAGATTATTGACAAGTTGCCTGAAAGTGTTTTAAGAGCCTGTTTTGACTGAGGGTGTACTAAGCGCCTTTTGGGGAAACCACACTATGAATCACTATGAAAATACGTCACCGCATGATGAATACTACTGCTAGATTGCGACATAAACACAATAGTATCCCTTTATAACAACTGAACGATTGAGCTCAATGCAGAGAAGGCTATGTACAGTCTTTGTACATGTACATTGTACACATGTATATGTACATTGTATGTTGTCAGTCAACTACAAAACGCGTTGCTACAAAATTCTGCGACCAGATTTGTATGATTATGTACATGCAAATGCACAACCTTTTGTATGATGGTACCTAAGCACTGAACCATGGAAGAGTTCCTTCATCCAGGATTCAATGCTGAGGTCACAGCACACATCTAATCCACAGCCCACAGGTTGTCAAAGTGCCAAAATCTACGCACAGCACAGTATGGCATCACTGCAGTTATCTGATAGAGATGGGTAATCAATGCATCCCTAAGGTCCTGATTGCAACCTGACACTCTCTATCAGGCCAGTTCTGTGCATGTTACTTCCTCATAGCAACCCAAGGGCAGATCAGAGGGGAAAATCCCCCATGCAAAAATGGGGCACACAGACACAATACCTATTCACTGTGACCACTACCACACTGGCATGGGTGTATGGTTATAAATAGCTGTGACACCATAAAATCAACACTCTGTGGCACCCCTCTGTGATGAGGCATGTGCATGCATGTAACCGGACACATAAAGGACAGATTGTTGATATCTGGGCTGAGTACACAGGAGGGCAGACCATTATTCAGCAATTGAACTTGGTTGAAACAAGAAGTGGAAGCGTGGTATACCTTTTTATGCTGGCCTTTGGTAACAGTAAAATGAGGAAGTCAGGCAGTCAAATCTTTGTTGGGACTCCAGCAAGCAGGCATCGAAACTAACCATCGAGTTGCCAATTACAGGTTGAAGTTTACTGAAATGGTCCGTGCAATCATGCGAAAAGCTATGCGCAAGGCGTTCTCCACGCCAGTCAATTTCCTAAGACGACTGTCCATATCTTCAGATCGATATTCATTTGTCTCTTCCACATTCTACGATGCAGATGTTGATGAGGATGATAGTGAAGACAATGATGAGACAGGTAGGCCACCAGATTTGGTTTACATTTCAATAATAAATAGTTCTTTATGTAGCGCATTGTACAACGATTTTCCATGTGCTTCTGGTAATTAACAGGTATGTCTTGAGTCCATAATTTGAAATGTGCCAAGGATAGGCTGATCTTCATGGGACAAAGATTGGCATCTTCTTACACTGCTCCATACTGAAATGTCACTGATGACCATGCACACCATAGTTCTAATAACCCATGTGTATCAAAAAAAGGTACATGTGTGTTTTATTTATCGGTTATTGTCTGTAAAAGTTCATTACAGCTAATTCACGTGAAGTACCTGTAATCCTGACTACCGGTATGATGAAGCAATTTTCTGAAGCTGTTGGATTTATGAGTGTGCACTTTAACCTCTGGCAACTAAAAGCATACATGTACATGTACTTAGTGCAACACAGTTTCCAACACTTCAGCAGGGGTGTCTATCAATAACAAACTCAATACCTTAAAATGAAGTTGAGTCCATCTATTCGGAGTCTGAGCCAAGGCCGAGTCCATTTTTGTCCGAGTCCGGCTCAAGTCCGACTCCATATTGTTGAGTCCGAGCTGAGTCCGAGTTCCCAATATTGCCCTCCAGGGCCCAAATCTCGGACACACCAAAGATTTGTTGGAATTGAAGGATGTCAAGGTCATTTGGCAACACAACAACATGGTATACATCCCTGTGCCACGTGCATGATTCATTCAAAAGTTTCTGTTTCAACCCAAAATTTGACAAGTGGGATCAATACTTACATAAGTAACTACAATCAGTACTTACATAAGTACATGTAACTACATGTGTATATCCAAGAATTTCAATTGCATAGGATATCTACCACTCTGGGACTCAAACAGACACTCTCTTGCTGGCAATGCCAGCTTTTGGAAAGCATCAGAAATGAATCAGGAGAATAGCCATGATCATGAAAAACCACGAATGCTCATGCGTCTATGTCCTTAGGTTCACGGTCAACTCAGTCCGTAACCAACTCAATCCGAGTCCACTCGTACTCTGTCCCTTTGAAAAAATTTGATTATTTTTAACTTGGACGCAACTTCGTCGGTTATACCCTGTTTTTGTCAAATCAGTCATAAAGACCTGGTTATTGGCTATTTTTGGCAAATACAGAAAATTTAAGTTTTTGTGTACAATATTTCTGAGTTGACTAGGTGCCCTATGTCTAGACTGTACAGTAGGCCTACTGATTTTGAAGGATGTTTGCTCCGAAGGTGCCGCACAAAGTTGTTCTCAACTTCTCTGTGCACACCTTACCACTTTCATTTCAATTTCGTTTCATTCAAAACTTTCATTTTGCTTTTTGAAGGCTGGCTGCTTCTTGACGGTTTGTAAACCCAAAACGGATTACCTGTGACAGGGACATGCTTTGATGAACTGACAGTGAGGGCAAGATGGGCAAGGCAAAATAATAACTAAATGACTAGACATGATGCGTGCACGTGTGCAGCATGTACAGTGTACAGTAAATGGACCTATGAACTTGTGCATAAAAAAGTGGACAGGATACCAGTTAACTTTTACTAAATTAACTAAATATTAAATACAAAGGTAACATTGATATGACTAAATATTAAATACAAGTACCAGTAAAAAACCGGTAAAAAATCACTTGTCCAGTGATTCATAAATGATGAACAAACTTTTTGTGTCTCAAATTTAATCCCAACATTCTATAAAAAATGGTGATTAATGAAGTATCGACTAAATGTGTATGAAGGCATTTTATGGTCATATCTGCTGTGCAGTGATGTTGGCAGATGTCACAAGAAGAAAACTGTAAACAAGTCAATCCTTCATGAACAATGTTTTTACGCTGCACTGCACAGGCAACTCTGTGAAAGCGGTTACGCACCTTTTACATGTGCTTGCCGTTATTCTAGACCCCAAAATGATGGGCCATAACCAAACAATTATTGAAAACAGATGTAGACAGTTTTTTCAATGAAATTTCTGAATTTTATGAACAGTTTCGAATGGACTTGATTCAAGTCCAGTAAGTAGTCCAAGTCAGCCACTAGCTGAGACCGAGCCAAGCCGAGTCCAAAACGACCTGTGTCC